GCACAGCGTGGACCATGACAAACAACTGTGAACAAATCGATATTGGGCGGCACCCAACATTGAATAATTGGGCCTAGCTCTGATACCATGTTAGGAATATTGGGCCTAACTCCACCTAATAAAACCGGCTTATTAGGGGAGGATTGTCCTCACCTTATGAAGTTGATTATTTATATTTTCCCAAACAATATGGGATTCTAATAGCTACTTCATTCCCTGAATTTGTAGCGGAATTGATTTCTTGTGCATCAAGATCATCTTCATTAACAATAGAATAGCAAAAATTGCATCATTAAACAAACTACTAAGCTTTAGCCGATACTGTTTGTGTAAGCACTTCTGATTCTTGAAATTATCCATCATTTTCTTTACGAAGTCCAAAGTAACAACATTGTCTTCTATTCTTGCACCAGTATATTGTGATTCCACATTTAGAAGTGACACAGAATACAAATATGTTAACATTTCCTCTTAATTGAAAAGTTGAAGGTTTTTGTGTTTCTTTGTCTAAATTAGAAGTGACAGTCTCATGATGCATTATGGAATGAGGCAATTGGGAAAGACTATATTGATTATTTTTAGAGAATATTGGATCATTTAACCTCTTGCGATGATCAACACAAGAAGTTCGAAGATGGTTTCGCTTGTCCCTTTTTCTTTGAATTTGTTGATGATGGATGGAAGAATTATATAAGTTCTTGTCATCCTGAGTAACAGTTTCAAGGATAAGTAAATGAGGTTTCCACGAGTCTTTTTGGTCAATCAAAGGTACAGGAGATTCTTCTTAATCAAGTAATTTTTTATCTCATTTTCATCTAACAGAAAAGTAACAAAGAAGAAATTCTTGCATAAAATTTTTATATTCTAACTGTAACACAATCCCAGTATGCAAAACATAATAAACGAAGCAAATAACAAAGCAGAGCATATATTGATTACAATACTAATCACACCAAGAGAGCAGCAAGAATTATAGCAATGATACTCTTTACAGGTTCAAGATCTATTTAAATGTATTTTAGAATGGAAACTGCAATTTATTTTATGGCTTATATTTGTTTGCTCTCCAACAATTTTATTGGAAGAAGGCACAAGAAATGGAATATGACAAATTGAAAAAATCAAATCAATACAGAAACGCAATTCAAAGTGTAATATATGACAAATTCCTAGTGTCATCATTGAATAAAATCAAAGTGTAATATGACTAATTGAACTATATGATTCTAATAATTCATTTACCTTAATTCCTCATCTTGTCATTGAATAAGAAGAAAAGGTTAGAAACGACAAATTCACATACCTTAAAATCTAAAGTACTTGCTCCCAAATCTGAACACTTCTTAATAGCTACTTGGAACCAACACAAGAAGGAAAAAAATTGTGCGCTAATGATATTGAACAAGTTATCTGTCAATGGAGTTGCATATAGTAGCATCGGAAGCCGGTGCGTATTAATGTAAATAACACATATTCAAACATTTGTTCCAAAAAGGATATTGTGATCAGAGAGAGAGAGAGAGAGACAAAAAGAAAGAAATGAATAATCACCTCAGGCTCCTCACAATAGACTCTGTTGCAATGGCCTCTTCTAAAGCTTTGGCTGTAGTTGTGGAAGCAACTACTCTCCTTTGCATAGCCTCCTGTACCATGAAAATATAATTAATCATAATCCATTGTTGAAGATTAGATTTAAATAAATGTGTTTCCTCTCAAACAATTTAAACTTAGATGAGTTTCTTCAACATAACATCGAAGCAGACATGACAATAAGTTTCACCCTTGTCTGTTTACCAAATTGTGAACATATCTTGCTATTGATGTAACATAAATCCAGATTGTCCGTGAGACTGGTTCTTGAAAACTAAATTTAAATACATATATATGTTCCCTTTCGACAACTCAAGTTTTTAGATAAGCTTGTTCAACACCAACATTGGAGGACACAAGTGAATTAAAGTGAAAACACAACAACTTCTTATTGTTATGCTGGCAGTTAATTGAAAATGAAATATACCTTCCCAAGCAATGCAAGACTTGAAGAGAGAGTGCATCCAATGGAATGCTTCCATCAGTCCATTTCTTTTCATGAATAGTGATTACAGGAGATGCTTCATTTGGCTTCTCAAGCATATGAGGATTCTTAGTCACGTTAGATTTTTGTTTTTCTTCCAAATAACTGAGCAGATATTTGCTCATTTACATGACTTAATCGCCTAGAAATAGCAGCCTACAAAATCACGATTCAAATGTACGTCAAGGAAGACTATTGCTGATTAACATATGCATCAACTAACCCAGGGAAAACGTTTTTAATGCATTAATCACAATGATCATCCTCGCAAAAAGTAAAATTCAAGAAATCAAACATGGATTTATGAACAGATCAGAATTATGATCCCACTTATCAATTGACACATATTCAATCTTGCAAGAAACATAATAAACATTGAGTTTTAATTCATTTTGCGTCCTTTCAATAGGACTTTGTCTTGAACATTAAATGTCATTGCAAGTCAGTAAACTTGAAACACAAAAAGAGGTAATGGAAAAATGAAAATACAAATAAGGAAAAAGCAGTAAAATCATATAGAAGTAGAAAGAAGTGATGGAAAAGAATATGGTTCAATGTCTACTGGTATATATAAAAAAAAAACTCCGCACAACGTCCGGTGTCCGCATGCGCTATGCGAAGTTTGTTTTTCTTATACCAGTAGACAATGAACTAACAAAAAGAATTCTATTACATGGAATCCCTAAATTTGATTATACCGAAAACTAAAATATGCCTCATATCATCACCTCTATTAATCTCTCTGGCACTAAAAAATTTAAAAAACAAACAGGTCAACAAACAAACCAAAAATTTTAATCTTCCACACACCACAAAAATATCTGTTAGATTGCGCAGGAAATATTTTTTGAAACATCAAATGGAAATTATGGTCGGCCAGCCACGTTAACAGTGAACAACACCAAAATTCGCAGAAATTCACTGAGATGAGTAAAAAATCATGAAATTTAAACAAAAACAACCTTACCTCAGATTATACCCTGGTAATAGTAGATAGATGGGATAAGTGGAAAGAAACTCAGCTTAAACTTGAGCCTTGAACTTCACATGTCTGCAAAATAAAGAGAGATGAATTATGCTAATTGACGGAAAATTAGGTAAGTTAAAACTATCACTAAATGTAATGGGCTTATTCTGATATTAACTTACAGTTTTATCATCTTGAAACTCAGGTTCTCCCCGTGATTGCTCTATTTTCCCCCCAAGGCATCCCCAAACTGTCTGTCGATGATAAACAGAAGGAATTTGTTTCCAAATAACCAACACAAACTAATTTCTTCAGAACATAAACAATCCATCTTTGTTTAATCAAGATTAGGAAAGCTTGCTTCGGAAAACAATAATTATCTGTTTGGCATGCGGAGAGCTATTAATTTCTTTGAGAGCTTTGGCGCTCTCCAATGATTCTTGATCGAACCCCCCTTTCGAATCTTCGACTATGGGTTGAGAATTCGGTCCAGAAGAATTCGTCTCTCTAAAAGAAGTTGAAGAAGAAGGTATGTACTATGTTTGAATTCTTGGGCAAACCTTTGCTTTTGTTTGTAACGGAGAAGAAAGAATTTGATGACTAATATGTTATTTCTGGAAATCAGTAGAAATAGAAGAGTTGGGATTGGGAAAGTGAAGGAGGAGAAACCAGATATATGTGAAATTGAGGCACTGAAAGGCATATTATATATTTATTTT